ATTTAGGAAGTGTTTTTTGTTTTTTTTTTAATAGTTTGTCTTACATATTATTTCTGTTCAGGGAAATGACTCTGAGATGCCTCATCAGGCACCTACTTTGTAAAATTCAAAAGAAGTTTTTTCAAATCAATATTTCTAAAAGTATATTTTGAAGTTCTGTAACAAAGGCCAGCTGGCTACCTTTTCCTTGGTTCTGTCTCAGCGGTAGGCCAGAGGGTTTGAGAACTGAAGGGCCTTTTAAATTATACAATAATCAGCAGGTTTCCATTAAAGAACAAACTCTATCATCTACATACATGCTATGTATTCTGATAAATAACTGTATCAGGTGAATTGTTGACTGGTGCTTTTATTGCTGTTACTGTGTGATTCTCACATTTAATAGACAAATATATCTATCATTTCTATGAAATGTTTACATATAGTTTCCTTAAATTTGCTCCATATTTCTTCAGCCTCTAGAATTGTTTCCTAAATCCTACTTAAAGTAACCTATAATTAAACCCAATGTTTTCTAACACTTTTTTTGGTATCATTCATAGTTACTATGTATTGGCATTTGGTTGATGAAGAGTTTAAATGTGTTGAGTAAATCGTGTGACATCTGGGAACATATATACGGATCATATGCGCTGTAAAATGAATCACTTCCCTCAAAATATGTGATGGAATTTAACATCTATATTGCTAAACCTTTTTGGGAAAAAGGTTTACCATCCTATGCTTATGAGACCATATTAATGTAAGATGTTATTAAACCACATTTTAGATTTATTTTTTATTCTGTTGAGTTTTTATTTTACAAAATCCTACTTCACCTGATCATCTCAGAATATTTCTTTCTTTCCTCGGCTCAGTTTTTGAGGTACAGATGTACCAGAGAAGCCCTTCTTTTGTTGAAAACACCTGCAAAAAATTTTCACTGAGAAAGCTCAGAAGAGTTCAAATAATTTTTAACATATTTCAAATATGGGCAAAACAGAAGCACTGTAAGTACAAGAAAGGGGAGGGCTGATTTGGCTGATAACTCATCAAAGTTAGCAGAGACAAAAGGAGAAAGGAGAGCTCCATAAACATACACATGTGTTCTCACAGGACTTGAAGAAGGGTAGAGACACAGCATCTCTTGGGCTAGATAATTGTTTCTTTCTTCAGCAGTGTTTCCTTTTGTATCGAGCTCAGTTCTCCTCCAAACTTTCTAGTTTCTCTAGGCATGGGATCCCTTGAGTCTCCCCAATTTTCTGGGAAATGGGCAACGGGTTGCTTCTTCAAAGAGGCACATTGTAACAGCCACTATGAACAGAAGTATGTCAACACCCAGGATGTAGTAAGGCCACTGAACAGAGAACTGTGGAGGGGCTGGGCTTCATCCTCAACTCCTGGATCTCCAGGGCATGAAGCAACAAGACCAGGAAAGCACAGGCCCCTGTGAGGAAGATGATGGAAGCCTACACAGAGTTGTGTTTCCAAATCCTTGGGAAGAGCCGAGATGTAAAGGACACCATGAAGAAGGTTGTGACAAAAGACAAGATGACTGCAGCAAGCAGGAAAATCCAGCCAAGAAGAATATAAATGGACCTGGGTCAAGGTTTCCAGCATTTAATACGGAAGCAGTTCTCAAACAGACCACTGATATACACTTCATGGGACTTCCCATTCATAAGCCACACCCACAAGGGAAGATGGAGACCAGTACCCCAGGGAGGTCAAAGCAGAGACTATGATCTAAATGAATCGTTTCACTCTCTTGTTATTTAAATTCAGCATAACTGGATGCCCCGTGCTTCCTCTATGTCAATGGTGAGGATTCGAGGATGCAGAAAAGCCACTTTTTAGATTTTAAGACAGCAAATCAAGTCAAGAAGTATACAAATACATTGAGGTGAGATGGAGATAAATGCTACATGAAGATTGCCAAAGATCCAAAGAAAGTTGAGATTACAAATACTGGTGTGATAGACATGATAAAAGAAACAAAGGCTTTCCCTGAAACCTAACAGAGAAAATCTGCCCCTACAGCTGGTGTCTTAAATTTGGGCATATAATCCCCTGAACTATGAAACAATGAATTTATATCCTTTAAAACCACTTGTCAAATTTCTGGAAATTTGACATGAAAAATGAAGGTTTATTTAAGTCATAAAGATTAAACATGTTCATGGATGGAAAGCATTACTGTAAGTCTGAAAACATAGAGTAGCTCTTTGGGCAGTGGTAGAAATTCATATTAAAAGAGAAGATGGTGTTCGTTTCTAAGTGACCATATCTACTAACATATCTCATGAAAGACTATGTGTAGTCTTTACTTAAGAGTTCCTGACATATGAGAGATGTGATTTTGTTTGATTTTAATGGTGGTTCTGGTATCATTGTGAAAGGTCTAATGTAAGACAAAGCAAGAAAGCAAGAGTCACAAAGTTTTGAGTCAATTGCAGTGGAAAATATCAAGAGATAGATAGCTACAATTCTGAGCTGAAGTAATATATAACAGGATGGAGGCAGGCTCAAAAGATATTTTGGAGGCAAAATTGAGAATTCATGGAGACTGATTTCATAGAGCATACCAGAGAGCAAAAGCTAGCGGATATCCTCAAAATTGGAGCCTAAATAATTCACTGCAAGATGGAAGGCAAGGCTTTTAATCACACTAGGAAATAGGTGAACAAGGGGCCTTCAAAAAGTTTGTGGAAAATGGAAATAAAAGATAATGAAATTTCTCCATGAATGTTTTGACATGGTCCACACCCCAACCCCACCACAGACATGTTATTTGCTCCTATTTTTGTTTGGAATAGAATTGTGTGTATTTTAGTGGGGTGGAGTGGGCCCTTAATTTTAGTTTCATATTCACTGCAATCTTTCAAATTCAAATGGAT